GCAGGAATCCTGATAAAAGAAGTCTGTATTATTTGCAGGGAGAGTTACTGGGTTGTGGTTTTCTTGTTTATTTGGCGTCGGGGGCTGGGGGGTGGGGGCGGTGCTCCTTATCATCCACAAGAGGGCGCCTGCGGTCCTCGAAGACCACTTCCAGCGTGTCCGTGTGTCCGTTTAAAAATCTGAAATCCCGGAAACCAGCCCCAACCTGCAAACTATTAGATTCAATTTGCACTAAGCACGCTCTCCTTGAACAGGCGTCGAATCCAGGTTAAACTACTTGGAGCAGAGCTGAATTCCTCTCTACTATTAAGGAAATTGCTGAAACACTAGCTTCTAAATGTGTACTGAATATCGTGGCGCTCCTAGTCAGCTAAAAGCCACCAGGAGGCGTTTATAAAGATGCTAGGGTAGGGCCGACTGAGAACATCTCCAGAGACCTATCACAGCAATCAGCTGTGGTGTAGGGGGTGGATTTTCACAGTACGGGCTCCCGTGTATGTGCGAAAAAGGGGCTAGGCGAAGCAGGGGTGGAGAATCTTTTTTGTGTCCGTTTGGGAGTCTCCCCTGCGTATATTTCTGGTTGGTGAGCCGGCAGTAGGAGGCCCGTGGGGCCGCGCGCTGTCCTGGGAAACTCCCGAGGGGCTTTCCCCCTTCCCTTCGCCCCCTCAGTTGAGCTCCCAGGAATGCTGGGATTTTCCTCCAGTCTCGTCTTGCAAGTTCACTTATTTCAGTTTTCCGTAAACACCAACGTCTCCTCTGCGACTTTGGGAAATCTTTCCATGCACGTCCTCAAAAGCTCCATACACCACCCTAATAAACGACGATTTTTGTGAAGCAATAGGATCTGATAACAAAGCAGAATGAAAGATCTCAGGTCTCTCACAGGCTCCTCACCTGTAAAATAACGACAATAGTTCGCATCTCACCAGGGTTCTGTGAGCGTTTCATGAGGTAACAATACAAAACACTAGTCACAAAACCTGGCACACGGTAAGGGCTCGGTTTTGTTCGACAACTTCACTTTTTTTCCAGTGCAGAAACAGAGGCCCGAGGGGGCACCAAGTTTCTGAACCCCTTGGAAGAAAAGGTCTGGGGTGCAAAGGGTAGTGTATGACGACATTGGAAAACCAAATCAGACTTTAGAAAGGAAGAGGAAAATCATAGCAGATTGGCCCCATGGTGTAATGGTCAGCACTCTGGACTCTGAATCCAGCGATCCGAGTTCAAATCTCGGTGGGACCTAGCGTTGGATTTTAAGTTTCTGTCATGTGAAGAAACAATCATGCAATTTCTACACAGCCTTCTCATTCCTTCCCAGAGCTCTTACTCACAAACACATGAGTTTAACGGGGGTGGGAAGTTTTATCTCTTTTGTTTAATGATATATTTTCAACACAATTTTATTTTTATGTATTTATAAGTACTTAAACATTATACACTCATTTTTTATTTATTGCATACTACCACCATTAAATTTAAAAACAACTAAAACCGGAGGAAAAACACTTAAAATACAGATAATTACTGGTAATGACTAAAAATTATACATCAATTTTAAATCTGTTTCAGAATGTTATGATGGTGTGATCAGTTGGCCTTTAAGCATAAACGTGTAATAGAGTGGGTTTAAAATTCTATGGCAGATGTGGAATAGAAATATCTTTTAAAGATAGAAAAAGAATTTATGCACATTTTCAACTGTTAAATAAAATTATGCTAAGTATATTTTTAAATATACAGACAGCCTTGGGGCAAAAGGTAAAACTGAGCCATCCTGGGTTCTAGTGAAGACCATAACTAGGTGAAAGTCTTATCCCCAGCAAAGTGTTGATGAACTGTTATCCTGAACCAGGCACTGTGTTAAGCAATGGGGACTCTAAAGGGAACAAGATCTCAAGACTGGTCCCTGCACTGGGGGAACTTGCTAGAGGGTAAGAGGGAGATATCAAAAAGAAACTAAAACATGTGGTGTTATGATGACAGCAATTTGGGTGCTGAGGAATCATAGATGGAGGCAGCTAAGCTGAGATCATGGAAGCCAGAGAAGTCTCACTAAAGTCTAAGTTGAGATCAGAGGAATAAGCACTGAAGTAAAGCAAGTAAAGTGAGGGCAGAGGAGAGGGTTAAAGAGTGTTGTGGGTAGAAAATGAAAAGGAGGAGAACATGGAGTTTGGGCAGAAAAAAAAATTCACCGTAGCTCATGCTTGGAAGTCAAGTGTGAGGACTGAGGGTAGAGATGCAGCAGGTTAGGGGAGCATCATCAAAGTTTAAAGTGCTCCCTGGAGCCTTCCCTACTTATTTGCTAGTCTGCACACAACATTCTGTTTTAAGCAAGAGTCCTCCCTTTTCTCTATTTTACTTAAATGTCTATCATTGATATGGACTCACAACATCTTTTTCCCCCAGTGGTTTATAACTCATTATTGTCCTTAATTATATTGGTGTTCAACTTTACCCATATTTAATTAGAGAGAGCCCCTTTTTGGGAAAATAGCCTTTGCCTTGCAAGAGTAAAGCCATCTTGAAGCAAAACAGTCATAACGACCAATATTTGACTCCTGCATACCAAGGCATTCTGCGGCAAGGTCAAAAACAATGTACATAGCATGAATAACCCCTCATAAAGATGCTTATTTAACTTCCCCAGTGGCCATGGGTTTTGCAAGACAGTCTGAGGTGTGATCAGTTGTTCATGTTTTACCCTAAAAGCTTGCATAGAAAGGATACTTTCTGCAGGGCAAGTGTAGGATCCACCCTCTGGGGCTGCAGCCCGAGATGTGCCTTCTGTTTGTAAGTCCTTATTAAATGTTTCTTTCTGAGAAACTGGATTTGTCAACCTTTGTTTGGCCTCCCAGCTCCCTGGGCCTTTGGAGGTCGCTTTGCCTATACCTGCTCA